CCTCAAAAGCCGAAAGGCTGACGCTTGAGGCATGGTACTCAGATGCCAACTCAGTCAACTGGCATCTAGACCTGCCAGCGGCCTACAAAGTCTTGCGCCATTACGCGGGAAAGAGCCAGAACGAAGCCAAATCAAACGTAAGAATGGCAAGCAAACAGGACCCCACAACGAACCGGCCGGAAGAGGAGGCAGTGTTACCAGGGCCCTCTACCGGATGACAAGGCGGCACGCTAGTTGCTGTTCATGACCCCCAGCCCCACTGACAGCTAATTAGCCTACACCACTATAATTGCCCCTCCGACCCCACTGACAGCTAATTGCCCTCCTCCCCCACCCTTTTTCCATTGCTGTTTCTAACTCCTTGACAATCTGACGATTTCTGACAGTTGATTGGCCTATGGCCTCTATAATTACCCTCTTTTTGGTTGCCTTCTCATCTCTGAAGATGGACTCTTTTAAGTGTTCAAAAGCTCAGAACAATAAATCAATTGATCAGATGCTCGACCCGCCTTCTTCCTCATCCATGCAAATACCTGGATCGTGATCCTTCTCATTCATTTTTCGTCTTAGACAATTTCATAATGAGAAATTCTCAAACCCGGAAAATGCACTCTTTTCAAGCATAGAATTTGGAAAAGACGTAATTTGCTACCAACTGAGCACAACTGATAATATTTTGTGTGCGCGAGAGAGAGAAGGAGCGAGAGAGCGCCGTGGCAACTGCGTTTACATGATTTTGGAGCAAGTTCAAATCGTGTCCAACTGGTGTGTTTGGGGTGTCGTGTACAGTGTCCCCTGCTCCATCGACTGATGGGGGCCGTGTTCACGTGGCCTTTGAGCAGCCGCGACTACGTGGATGTGCTCTGTGAAAGGCGGTATAAACCACCGAGCAGCCATTTGAGCTGCAGCAACTCTCTACTCTGTGGCTAATGGCACTCAGTTGCATGCTCTTATCCAAAAAACGATCATGGAGGTTCGAATTGCCCACCTCAGGCAAGAATTGCATTTTTTCTGGTAACTGATATCGGCGCAAAGCCAAATCCATTGAAACCACGTAGCGTTCTGTGCAGGGATTGCACTCAGAACACCAAAATTAACACGCTAATTTCCGTATAAAAGGAGAAGAGAAAAGCCCCGTAGGAGTTGCGCATCCTGTCCAGAACCTCAGGGGCGGTGGTCAGAGGCTCCGACGCTTGGCAAGCCCTGCGCCTGTGCGAGCGTTTGTCTGCTAGCCTGATGTGGACGTGAGTGAATAAGCATTATGTAAGAGTAGGTCACTGACCGCTTCATCGGATGATTGGTTGATAGCAGTTCGGGGGTGCCTAAGATTGACTGTCCTAGAGGCTCTATGCGGCAGCTGAAGGGGTGTCCTTAGGGGACCTTTTGCACGGCGTGGGTGCCAGAGG